TAATTTTTTTATTTTGGTTCTATATAGGATTTTTGATGCTGGTTATGAAAACAGTTTGTAATTATTTTTTCTTCCCATTTTTGTGGTTAAGAATAGTATTTCCTCAGAAAGTTTCTAGATGAAATTATTTAGAATGGTACGTATGTAGCTGGTTTTTGAAGGTAAAGTTTTAGACGAGTATACTCGTCGACGACTGAAAAAAGAACATTTTGTGAAAACATGTATACACGTTTCTGCCGGGGAAGGGTTAAAGTATATTAGTAAGACTTAATTGCCCGGACAACACTGTTGGAATCATTTTACATAGCATTTACATTTGCTTTTTAAAAGAAACTTTTATTGCTTTGGCCAGTGTGGCTCGGTTGGGTGTCATCCCGTGCAGCAAAAGAGATTGCTGGTTTGATTTCTGGTCAGGTCACATGCCTAGGTTGTGGCAGGCCTAAGCCAACGCAGGCCTAAGCCATAGTGCTGCCGCGGAGGCTGGAGAGGCTCCTGCCACAGCCACTGCGCTCGCCAACTGTGAGCCTGGCTCAGGGCTTCTGGCTGAGCAGCGCTCCCCCTGTGGGAGTGCACTGACCACCAGGGGGCAGCTCCTACGTTGATGTCTGCCCCCTGGTGGTCAGTGCATGCCGTAGTGACTGATCGTTCTGCCGTTCAGTCGATTTGCATGTTAGCCATTTATTATATAGGACTAAGGGCCTGATGCTTGAAATTCTTGCAAGAGAAGGCCTTCCTTCCCCCAGCTGCTGGCACCAGCTTTCCTCCCACACCTGGGACCCAAACTTCCCTTGCAGCCACAGCTTCGTCAGGAAGGTCGTCTGGTCTAATTAGCATATTATTCTTTTACTATTATAGATTCTTCAATTGGGGTTAACTGATGTTTTTTACAATCACACTGAAGTTAGGCATTTTGGGCAAGAATATCATCAAAGACATGTTGTACTCTTAGGGCATCCAATTGGGGTAAAAGATACCAATATTCAGTATGTTTTATTTATTACTGGTGATATTTGCTAAAAATTACTTGGTTAAGGTGTTACCAGGATTCTCCACCATAAAGTTATGATTTTTCCCCTTTATTTTGTGGGAGATCATTTGAGACTATGCAAATAACTTTTCTACTGAAAGTTTCCTGATTCAAGCATCCACCAGAGGTACCTTTACTTCCTTATATTTAGAATTGAAATTCTTTTTGAAGTGATTTAAAGTTTTCCTAATTTCATTGAGTAATTTGTGTTTCTTTAAATGTTTTCAGGTATTTGACTGGAATGGTTGACAAAAGGACACTTGAGAAATATGAAAGAGAAGCTAAAGAGAAAAACAGAGAAACTTGGTATACTAAACTTTTATGATACTATAAATTACTTTTAAGGAAATGCTGCCCACTTAATGCTTTTGTAGTCTACTGAAATGGTGTCATAACAAAGGGAGTTTCTTTACCCTCATACTACATAGTCTAGATCATTTCCCGAAGACTAAAAAACTTGCACAGAGAAAGTTTGGAAACATCCAAACATCCAATAATAAAAGGCTTATTGAATATATTCTAATTGGGCGGTTTAATTGGGCCATTATCTAACCACTATAAAATTGCATTTAAAGAATTTATAGTAACAGGAATAGAATATGTTACAGTGGAATTTGGGAAGAAAGCAGGAAACATCATAGTACTTAGGACACGATCATTAACTATGTAAATAAACAATGGAAAGAAAAATAATTGAAGGAATTATTGACAATGATTCCATTAAGTGGTGAGAGAAAAGGTCAACTTTTTTCAGTTTTCTAACCTTAACTTATTTTTTAAAAGTTAACAAGCTTATCTGAATGGGGCATTGGTGTGCTTTATGTTGTTATATTGCTCTGTAAAGGGAAAATCTTAATGAGTATATACTATGAAATACAGATGATTAGGTAATCTAAATTAATGCCTTCTATTATAGATGATTTGAACTTAAATAATTTTTACATGGCAAATAATATTGAAATAATTTTAGCAAGTAACTATTGCTCACAAGTGGCAGGTTAATGGCCTTCATGTTAAAAAGACATCCTTAGACAGCCATTATTCATATTATATTTTGTGACAGATGATATAAAAATGAAATATAGAGGAACTTATTAACTCATGGTGATATTAGCATTGGTACTTAAAGTAGTCTTTCTGTGTATGTTTCAGCTATTTCATAAATAATGTTTGCTTCTAGAGTAAATGGTTGACTAGATATATGTAAAATTTCCAAGTGTTTGAACCACATTAACATAAGTTTTACTCTCTTAATTTTCATTTCTGTCTAGTTCTATTACTGGTTTAAATGTATGATGGACATAAAGCTAGATGTCATCAATTACACCTTTAATGGTAGAAGAATATCTTAGAAATTTTCATGTTCTTATCAGTATTATTCTTATTTTAAAATTATTTCAGGTACTTGTCTTGGGCCTTAGACACAAATCAGGAAGAACGAGACAAGGGTAAAACAGTAGAAGTGGGTCGTGCCTATTTTGAAACAGAAAAGAAGCATTTCACAATTCTAGATGCCCCTGGCCACAAGAGTTTTGTCCCAAATATGATTGGTGGTGCTTCTCAAGCTGATTTGGCTGTACTGGTAAGAAAGACATTTCTAATTCACCTTAATATTTGTTAGCAACCCCACTTAAATTTATTAAAAAAATATATTTTTATTGATTTCAGAGAGGAAGAGAGAGGGAGGGGAAGAGAGATAGAAACATCAATGATTAGAGAGAATCATTGATTGGCTGCCTCTTGCTCGCTCCACACTGGGGATCAAGCCCACAACCCAGGCATGTGCCCTGACCGGGAATCGAACCTTGGGCCCTTCAGTCCGCAGGCCGACGCTCTATCCACTGAACCACTCCAGTCGGGCCCCACTTAAATTTTTAAATATTTGAGTTTATCTGTAAAAGCTGGAATTTAGGTTGTGGTGAACTATAATATACACAGTCACAATTTTCACTTTTGTCTTACTGATCTGTGCAAGACGTCTTTATAATTTATTTTTTTTTATCAATGAGGAGAAACATCAATCAGCTGCCTCCTGCACACCCCCTACTGGGGATGTGCCCGCAACCCAGGTACATGCCCTTGACCGGAATCGAACCAGGGACCTTTCAGTCCACAGGCCGACGCTCTATCCACTGAGCCAAACCTGTTTCGGCTATAATTTAGTTTACTTATGAAAATATGTTTCAACTTTCCTCTGCCATTGCTATTATCTATTATGCGTCAGAACTTAGTGTCCACTAAATGCCAAGCCTACAAATTAGGTAGTGAGTATGAATATGAAATGATCTATTTTTTTGAGGCCTTCCATCATTTTGCAATTTTTTTAAATAACTGTTCCAGCACTAAATCATATACATGTTTAATTTGTAACATATATAGAGGCATTCTAGAATTTGGAAAATTGAGGATCGG